GAGAGAGAGAGAGAGAGAGAGAGAGAGAGAGAGAAAGTAAGAGAGACACAGAGAGAGACAGAGAGAGCTGGGAGAGGAAGGGTGAGAGGGTGTGTGGGGTGTGTGTGTCTTTCTAATCTGGGAGCATTGTTTGTTGTTGAGGAGCGCGCTCCTGACTCAGCTCGGCGCGCTCTGCCCGCTCTCCTACCCTCCTGTCGGCTGCCATTCCTCGGTGCACACTGCTCTTTATTTCGCAGAGAGCGCCTTCCGCGAATCACAGCCCTGCCCCGCCCTACCTAATGCCCACCTGGCGCAGGGTTGGAAATTTCCAAAATTTTCCGGAAAAAATTTAAAAAAAAAATCCGAAAATTTCCGGAAACAAACGAAAAATTTGCAAAGTCTGTGAAGATTTCAGATTTTCCGGAAAAATTCCTGGAAACTTTCCAGGGCTTCCTGGAGCAGACTGGGGAGTTACAGGGGAGAGCGGGGGTGTGGGCCTTCTTTCGCTCTCGGCTGCCTCGTCGAGGGGGTGCGGCGGGCGGCTTGCGCGGGGGTTCTGCCAGCGCACAGCCTTCTCTTCCGGGGCTCTCTTTCTTTTGAATGATGATGGTGATGGTGCCCCCTCCTCTCCCCCTCAATGCCCCAGCCCGTGCGCGCGCGTTTGGCAGCCTTTGGGGCGGAGAACGTGTGAGTTTTTAGAGCGAGGTTAGCTCACGCGTTCCTCCCCCCGCGCCGGCGCTGCTGCTAGCGAGCCGCCGCCGCCACCGCGAGACTTGCGTAAGCGTCGATGAATTTACGGGTCGGGTCTCTCCCCCCGGGCCGTGCGGCCTTGAGGACGTCGCAAAGCATCCCCCGCAAGCGAATGAAATGCAACAAAGTGTAGGCCGCTTAGGGCCGGCGAGGGCGCGGGCGTTGGCAGGAAGCGGAGAAGCGGCGCCGCCGAGGCCGCGGCGCCGCCGTCGTCGAGCAGGGCGCCGAACCGACGGCGCGCGCGTGACTCGTCGTGGGCGTTCGGGGTGGTCCGCGGCTTCGAGTGCGCGACGGCGTCGACCTCGCGCGGAGGGTCAAAAGGTCGCGGGCATCCCCCTGGAAATGCCTATACGGCGAAGCGGGACTCCTGCTACAGGGTGGTGGAGGAGGTGGACAACACAGGTGCGGAGGCGGGGGTGTGCGGGGACGACTGGGGTGGGGC